AAATCGAAATGTATTTAGAATGTTAAAAACTCGAGTCTAACTTGAAGCGACCTTAGAAGATAGTTTATTCGATTTCCGACTAATTAAAATCTTGCCTCCTATATATTGATTGGGAATACCCTCAAAGTCGACTCAAAAACGACTAATCGGAACTTTTAATGCCCTAAACATATTTGCCAAAAAAAAACTACCGTCACCACCCTAAAAAATTTCCAAAATCAGGTGTAACATAAAATAATACCCAAAACCCTAACCCTAATGCTAGTAGTGATATTTTTTTAGGTGGTGGTGATGCTATGGGTCTTACCAAAAAATATATGCTTAGAAACTTTAACAAAATCTTACATGAGAAAGGCCTTAGTTTATTATATAAACAGAAGTAATAACCAGAGCAATTCAAACAAAAGATATGTATAAATAAAAAATAAATATATAAAATGAAAATGGTTATAATACAGCTAAGTTATTACAATACACTGTGGTAAACCCAGTTATTCAAGGTATAATAAACCACATATATACAGCACTTCAACCGCTTAATAATTTAAAGCATTCTTAATAATAGGATCATTTTCTATCTCACTAGGATCCAAAAAGGTTGAAAAAACACCATCTGGTATCCCCTTCTTTAGATTGTTTAATCTCTCATGAAACATTTCTAACGGAGTTCTCATTTCTTGTTCCTCAACCGGTTTGTCATGTGAATCAATCTTTACATCAGATGGCAAATCATGCTGATGCTCAGGAAGGACATTTGAACTAATTGACGTATATATCGAAGACATTTCTGTATGCAACTTCTTCATCAAACGATTAGATAAGCTTTGTTGACGTTGCGGCTTATGTGGATCATGTTCATTTTCGTGTTTAGGTTCAACATTTTCGTGTTTAGGTTCAACATCTTCCTGTTCATGTTTTTTATCAGAATCTTCTTCTTTTCCTTCCGAGCTTAAATAATAATTTTTAATATATTTATAGGTCGATGTGAATGTTTGCGCATAAGATTGATGTGGTGATTGTGCCGGTTGATTTTTTATATGTTCTGTAGTTACGTCCCTGACAAATATACGAAGAATT